ATGATGCTTCTGTGTCACTAGAGGAGGGGCCAGGGCGGGCATAGGGAGCTGGTAAAGTGTGCTTTTTCTTACTAGTTGTTTTCAACCTTGATTCATCTAGAGGTATGTTGGCAGATGCAATAAAAAGGAAACAGGCAGGAGGCAGGGAGAAAGGGGGAAGGTGGTCTGAAAACGTGTAGACTGCTCACAAGACGATGGAGCAATTCCCCATGGCTTGCTTCTATTTAGTTCAAACTGACAGGTTGGAGGAGACAGGGCTGGGTAGGAGACTCTGGTGTCCTTGTCAAAGGGGGAGGCGGGGTCTACATAAAGGAGGCTTAGGAAAGGAGAATCATGCTACGAAAATAGAAGGTGATCATTTGGAAGAAAAGGTTGGAATGTGCAGAAACAGTATTTATCAAGCCCTCGAATCATACACGGGTTAGAAATAACGGACGTTACACTCAGAGTGGAAACACTTTGAAAGCTCTGTGAAAGAAACAAATGCTTGGGTTCCTTTGTACGCTGTTTCCATCATGATAGCGGCTTCTTACATCCTTGCTGATGTGCCTAGGCTCCATGTGTGGCATGTTCTGGCTCCCAAATTTGTCCCAAGGTCAATAAATATCTCCTTCACTCTGGCATCGGAGACAACCACGTGGCTATAGCACCATTGAAGCACCCAAGCAGAGAAAGGATTCTGGTCTCATGTAGCTCTCCCTGAATTTCACTCTGGGCAAATGCAGGCCCACAGCTCGCAGGTCAGTGCCAGCATTGAGCTTGCATTGAAGAATGTCGGAAAAAAAAATTTGTGATGAAGATAGCAATAAGGTGTGTGTCAGGTAATGGCCAAGGCTAGTTAGGAGCCATTGGGCAGGCGAAGATGGGAGTCTCTTGCTTCATGTTGGGTTTCAAAGGTCCTGGTATTTAGTTAAATCACTTCCCTCGCTGTCCAATAGGGTCGTTAGGACTCACAATTGACTCGATGGCCGTGAGTTTGGGTTTACAGAAGGGTTTACTCTCTCGCTTTGGGTGTCCTGGAGGATATAATGAATTGCCAATTAGGATGATCACTACAAGTTCACCAGTTCCAAACCATCAGGATCTCTGGGTGGGAAAGGGGAGGTTTTCTACTGACGTAATGGGTTACATACAGTCCATGAAACCCACAGAGGCAGTTCTCCTGTGCTTTCTTGGGTCGCTGGGAATCACAGTGGACTCAGTGGCAAAGAGAAGGCTGTTTAAGGGCCCCACATATGATCTACAAGATAGCATTTCACGTGTGCTTTTTAATGAGCCACGCTGTATGTCAGTGAAGCAAATTTTGTGGCTCACACTGGTGAAATCTTCACAATTTAACAGATGAGAATCTGCTAGTTTTATATGTCACTCACTAAAAATGTCCCCCAAGATTCCGGGCATGCCAATCCCTATATTTTCTTCTGTGTTTGTTGTGTATACTCTGGTGTCTAAGCTGAGATGGACAGAAGTTCAGGGTTGTTTTGTCATTATTTTATTCATGCAAAAATGTAAACTTTGATCGTGATGGAAACTCTGTCTATTCTCAAGTAATCAGTTGTCACAAAGTATCTTTTTACCTCCTTGATGTTTGGTTTTAACAAGTTGGTGTCTGGAGTTGCTGTTGGAAATTCCTCTGCGATGACCTCCTTAAGTACTCCTCTATTCAAGCTCTTTGATTCTAGACTCTAATAGACCATGTGTGACATATATTCACCCCATCCCCAGTAATTCTTCAGCCCTCCTTGCATATTCTCCATCATTTCTTCTGTCCGCTCTTCATTTTGTCTGCTCTGAGTGGGAATAGCATCCTTGAGGGTTGCTGGGCCAGGATGTGCTCCACTCTCTCTTCCTCCCTTTTCATTTGCTCCCGTGTGCTCTGATCAGACATATCCCTCTCCCAGATCTGCAGATTCAGTGCTGTTCTCTGAAATAAATTCTTTTGGGGAAAGGGTCCAGTGTCCACATAGTTGGGATTGGGGCTGGCCCCTCAGACTTCTCCACTGGTTCCCTATTCCATGCCGGCATGTTGCATTCACATCTTGGAGCACTGGGTTGAAGTCTGGTC